AAAATAAATGATTTACAATGAAAATTTAAAATTTTGGTATTTTAAATCAATGAATAATTGAGTAACAAGATTGTAATTCCTCATTTTAATCGTAGTAATCCCAGTAATCGGAAGAACAAAATAATTTTTAATCGTGTAATAATCACAGTTATTCATAGTAATTTCATGAGCACTGACCGGTTTGAATGTTTGTAGAAACCCCTCGAATTTTCCTATCTTCCCCCATAAATCTGTGCAGTGTTTTGTCTGTTTGTTTGGGATCAAACCTGTCGGTTCATTGAAGACATTGGGGTTCGGCAGAAAATAAACAAACAACAACAAATTCGCAATCCTTTCTCCTCCCTATCAACCAGTATCGACTCCAATGACCGAATCTAAACAAAAACGAAGGAAAAATGTTATTGTAGAAAATAATCCCATTTCTGAGTCTTCATTTTTCGTCAAAGGATTTGGGCTATCGTTGTTGTGTCGTGAATGGGGAAACCAACATCTTCGTAGAAAGCGAAAATTTGCCAAACAAAAGAAAGCGGGACACAATTTCCAATTTCAACTCGCAATAAGACGGAATTTCATGTTTCGGTTAAAGTTAGCAGTAAGCAACAGTGGCTGTCTGGTAATGGGAAAACACAACGTTCCGTCGTCGTTCGAAAAATTGTTCACCACGAGACGAATGACGAGAACCGAGGATATGCTGTACTGTGTGCTTGAGAAAAATCCATCCTTCTGAAGCCTCAATCAAATTTGCTCCTTGCCTTCCAGGAAGATGTCCTTCTCTCGCTTCGAAATTGAGAGATTCCATGGAGAACAACGGAGATGATGATGATGATAATAGCGATTATGATGACCTATTTGCCGGATGATATTCCATTTTTCCCCCATTTCGTCGGAATTTGGTCCGTTTTTGCCTTCTTAAAACACAATGAAAAATTGAAAACAACTGCGGATTTACAGATTCGACTGTTTGTCACGTCGTGATAAAAAGCTCCCGGTCACGACAACTTAGAACTTTTAATTAGGTGGGATCGCTATTGGTTTAAGAAAATTTAATTGAGGCTTCATTGAGTTGCTTTTCAAATAATGGGCCGATTTGATTCATTTAAAGGGTGTCCACGATGAAATTGCCACACTATGAAATTGCTCTAACTTTTTAACCGTTGGGTAGAATTTAATGAAAATTTGGGTGGATTTAGTGCATTATTTACATCCTGCAAGTTTTAAAGTCCTGTGATCAAAACTCGCGGAAATGGAGTCGAAAGAACAGCTCGTGCGTGATAAAATCTTGCGCATTCATCACGAGAACAAGGATCTCTCGCATCGTTCCATCGCTAAAACGTTGGGAATCGCGAATTCCACAGTGTCGCGAGTGATTAAGCGGTTCGAGGAACGGTTGACCACCGATCGGAAGCCCAGAAGTGAAGGAAAAAGTATTCCGTACAACACCAAAAATCACAACCGCGTAGTTGGGGCCTTCAACCGAAATCCGAACGCCTCCGTTAGGGATGTGGCTAAGAAGCTGCACCTAAGCCGAAGTTTTGTCCAGAAGGCCAAAACTAAGACTGGGCTTCGAACGTTCAAGGTACAAAAGGCCCCTAATCGCGACGAGAAGCAGAACAAGTCCGCCAAAACCCGTGCCAGGAAGTTGTACCTCAACATGCTGACGAAAGTTGAATGCTGCATCATGGACGACGAAACATATGTGAAGGCCGACTTCAAACAGATCCCCGGCAACCTGTTTTTCACGGCCAAGGATAAGTTCAGCGTTCCGGAGCATGTCCGCACTCAGAAGATGTCCAAATTTGCGAAGAAATTCCTGGTTTGGCAAGCCATCTGCACGTGCGGGAAGCGGAGTGCACCTTTCGTGACCCAGGACACGATGAACGGACAGGTGTACATAAAAGAGTGCCTCCAGAAGCGGCTGCTTCATCTCCTGAAGGCCCACAACGTCCCAACAATCTTCTGGCCGGATTTGGCCTCATGCCACTACTCCAATGACGTGCTGAAGTGGTATGCGGACAATAAGGTCAATTTCGTGCCGAAAATGTTCAACACTCCGGAGCTCCGCCCCATCGAGAAGTACTTGGCGATTATGAAGCAGCACCTTCTTAAACGACCTAAGGTAGTGAAGACAGTCGAGGAACTGAAGAAAGTATGGGTTTACATGCAAAAAACGGTTGATTCACAGGTTGTGCAGAATCTTATGGCCGGGGTTAATGGCCAAGGTGCGGGCATTTGCGTATGGACTGTAAATAAAATACGAGTAAAATGGTAAAATGAAGTTTAATAGTTATTTCTCAATCCCTGAAAATTTGATGGCAATCGGATGAAAACTCGAATTTTGCGAATCAATTTTGTGTGTGGCAATTTCATCGTGGACACCCTTTATTCACGCAATTCTCGAATGTGTAAGATAAATATAACGGCTTTTCGCAAGAATTGCTGGAGCTTAAATTCTGTAAATTTATACCAGTCATCAATATGAAAACAATCTAATATCATCAATCTTTTTACCTCTAATGAAAGTGGAATTGCAATCTCTCGAAAGATGCAATCCACCGACCGCAGCAGTAAATCTGAATCAAGTCAATTAAATCTGTTCACTGCTTTTCCCCAAGGGCCAAAGACAACGACAATGACGTTGGCCATCACTTTTCCACCCCGAAGCGATGTAACGAATGTAACCGTAACAAACAGTCCAACGTCATCAACCCGGAAGATGGCAGCAGAAGTTCAGAGTACCTTTACCGTGTCCATCTGGAGGACAGCAGAGCTCGCGAATGCACAATTAATTTTAATGTCTCCGTTTCCCTCTGCTATTGCTTGAGAAATAAGCCAAAATCTGGATGCAAGCAATGCTCATGAATCACTGCCCGTGATGTGAGTAGACTATGGTGGGACCGGTTGGGCTGTAAGTTATCGAACATTCATTATGCTGTGTTGGATTCGACGAAACAGAAAGCAAACAGAACTGGAGCTGTTGATCAATTCGGAATCTAACCAAAAGTGCTACCGGATAATTAGATTGTGGAAAAGTGTGGTTCTCATTTTCGTAAGAGAATGACTCGTATTCTGGCGAGAACTCATGACCCATCATCGTCGTCTCGTATCGTGGTCACGTTTCTATGGTAATAGCTCCGGGCTCACGTCGGGACCAAACAACAAGGAAAGGCTCTTCTCTATCTCTGCTGACGGTTCCTGAAACAAGACCGAGTTCCATCAGTTCATTTCGTTTTCGGTTTATTAGACGGAGGAGGGTCCGGTCGTCTGTGCTAGCTGAAATTCAGCCAAGTGTAGGAGCAGAGTGTCAAGCTTCTTAAAAAGACATAAAGAAACTCGTTGAAGTGCAAAATTGTTATCGCCTTTACCGGAGAAGGAGACTTTTCGGTGCATCGAGTTTTATGGCACAATGGAACTGGGACATGTAGACCCCTTCATATATATTTACCGCCAAGGATAGTGGTCGTACGTGAAGAGTACAAAGAGGTTACGAAAATAGTTCGACCGAAGTGGGGAGGCCATGGATCAAGAAAAGGAAGCTAGGAAAGTGATAGTTTCTGTTCGGACGTGAAGGTATGCTTCGATAGTTTGTCGGTTTTGCTATTGTTGTCGTTGTTTTTGTCAGTGTTGGATGAGAAGAATTTGGTGTTTTGTTTTCCTTGATTTGCTTTCCGTCGATCTTGTTTGAAGGCAGCTCCCGCAGCTGGACCCTACCTATCGACCCATCAACTCATGAACCGAGGACCAACGGCTTTACTTTCCTTCCGAAGGGAAGGCGTGATCGGAGATGTTATGCCTCAGAACATCCCGGTGGCGCTGACTGGGATTGAACCCAGTCCTGCTGGGGTGAGAGATAATCACGCTTACCACTACACCACCGGCGCCGCTATCTCTTGGCAATTTGAGCGACACAAAGGCAAGAACTGCCCATAAATGAGAAATTGGCTAATGTGCCTGAAGCACTAAATCGAGAAAAATGCAATTTTAACATTTTTGTTGGTTGAATAACTTTTACTAGATAAAATTGTCATTTAAAATATGCAAAACAGAATTTGCCTATGCCGGAAACATGCCGTTGAATAAAAACAACGAAACAAATAATCAATTTCCGAAGGGGTACTCAACTCTGCAACGTGCTGCATTATGGCAATCGAGCTATCGGTCTCAGTACTCCATGAGTTTGGCAACCCTGCAGTTATGACTTTTGAGATTGTTTGTTTACAACTTCAAGCTCTCATGGATGGTTAAGTGAAAAACGGAAACGAATGTTATTTTTCCCCAAATTTGCTCCCTTATTTCAAAAGATGGTTAGATGATGATGTTGATAATGTTGATGATGATGGTATTGTTGCTATTGAAATATATTTCTGAACAAGAACCAATTACATTAGAAGCTGTGTTTAAGAATTATTTTCTATAAATAATGTGTGCAAATAGACTAGGGCGTTGCTTGACAAAAATTAATATTTTTTCGGCGACTCTATAAGATAAATGTAAGCACAAATATTTGCTTCTTGATGAATATCATTCGATAAGGTTAGTTCTAAATTTGAAGCAGTGATGTAAAAGTTACCCAAAACCTTGATGCCTCAAGGGTTTTTGTCTGCATGACATAGTAAAGGAACATATGTGAGTGGACAAGATTTTTATCAACCTGTAGATTATAATTATTATAGTTTATCATTCCGAGGCCCCAAACACGGTATTCTGCTGGGTTCCGGGGCACTGCAGCATACCAGGCAACTCTGAAGCTGATTTTCTGGCTGGGGCAGGACCATCTGCCCCACGCTATACCAACGAAGTACAGTTACAGGATGTCAAGCACTGGATTGTGAGCAAATTATGGGAAGCTTGGGGCGCGGAGTGGGCCCAAAACTGCTCCCTCTTCATCACACGGATCTAAGGGACGGCGAGGAAGTGAACATCTCCTTAGTAATTCCGTCCTGTAATAAATGTATTTTTGTGTTCGCGTAATAAAAGGTGTTTGTATGTTAACCGCGAGTTTTTCAAGTGTCCGAAAGATTTCCCGCGACGGGCGCGAACATTTCTTTGAGCTCCGGGTATAGTGACGAAATCTTCGACGACTCTCGAACTTCTCTACCGTTTCTCAAATCGGCTAACTCCAACGAGAAGCTTTCTTGTTGGGAGAGCCTGACCAACGCATGCAAAGCATCTTCCAGTTCGAGCGTTGTGAGAGGACCACACCGTCGATTTTCACGGTTCGCCGGTTGCGAATTGAAGCGGAATCTGCGAAGCCAAGCAGTCAATCGTACTTGATGTGTATACGATGATCTAAGGCTGAAGATATCCCTTGGAGTTACCACTGGAAGTGCTGTCGCCATGCTCTTGGCTTCGCGAACCATGGGATCGAAGTCTTCTTCGTGTATCTGATGAGCAGATGGCCAATTTAGCTCGTCCAACTTTAGCCAATGTGGACCGTTGAACCAAAGCGATTCATATTGTAGCTGCGCTGGGATCATTCCACGGGAAATTATGTCAGCTGGATTCTCTAGTCCAGCTACGTGGTTCCAAACGCCTTGTTTCGTGATGTGCTGAATCTCCGAAACCCTATTTGCTACAAACTGCTTCCATCTTGACGGTGACGAAGAAATCCAACACTTGACAATCGTGGAGTCCGTCCAGAAAAAGCCTTTCGCTTTGATGCCGAGACTGCTTGTGACCTTCTCGTAAAGGTGTGCCAACAACAAGGCTGACGACAGTTCTAGGCGTGGAGTGGAGAGCCGCTTGTTTCCTTTCTTCAAGTTGTCAAGTGGTGCAACGCGTGACTTCGCTGTTAACAACCTCACACACACCTCTCTCGTTTCGGAGATTGTTCGTACGTAGAAACAGGCGCCGTATGCCTTATTCGACGCGTCGCAGAAACCGTGAAGCTCCGTGGTGACGATGTGACTTCCGGTTCCTACCCATCGGGGAACGGTAAGGTTTTCTAGTGCTGCTAGATTCCGCCGATATTCCTTCCAATGCTCTTGAAGTTCTTGATTAAGTGGTTCATCCCAGCCGCAGTTTTGCTTCCACAGTTCCTGGATGAAGATCTTTGCCTGAATGATAATTGGGCCAACCAGACCAAGCGGGTCAAACAACCGCGAAACATCGGAAACGACCAAGCGTTTCGTAATCGTTGCTGACCAGTTGAACGATGGGAACGTGAAACGGAAAACGTCTGAACTAGGTTCCCACACTAAACCCAATGTCTTGATGGAAGTTTCAGACGAATCGAGATCCAGGATTGAGCGTTCATCCCTCAAGCTTTCCGGAATGAATTCGAGAAGCTCCTTGTTGTTTGAGTTCCATTTTCGAAGCGTGACTTCGATGACTTCTTGAACCAACTGTTTACCTTCTTCTACGGTGTCTACCCCTGAGAGCATGTCGTCAACGTAGAAGTCCTTCTTGACCACCTTGGACGCTACAGGATGCGTTAACGCTCCGTCATCTGCTAAATGCTGCAGGCATTTGGTAGCAAGATATGGTGCGAATGAAGTACCGTACGTAACAGTGGTCAATTCGTACGTGCGGTATGGATCGGAAGGGGCAAATCTCCACTTGATGCTCAGCAACGGATGATCACGACGTTGAACTTTAACCATGCGATACATCTTGGCGACATCAGCGTTGACTGCGATACGGTACATGCGGAAACGTAGCGAGATACTAGGCAGGTCATCTTGTACTACTGGACCAACCATGAGGGCGTCATTCAGCGAAACTCCGGTAGACGTTTGACAGGAAGCGTCGAAAACTACGCGCAGCTTTGTAGTCGTTCTGTCTGGCTTAAGAACAGCGTGATGTGGTAGATAGTACCTTTTTACTCCTATCTCTCCGACCTCCTCGGTGAAGGTGTCCAAGTGCAAGATATTCGCGAATGAATTCGTCGTACATCGTCTTCAGCTCTGGATTTGCAGCGAAACGGCGTTCCATGCCCATCAACCGTTTTATCGCTGTGGTCTCCGAATGACCTAACCGATTAATTACGGCTTCCTTCTTCGGCATCGTGACAATAAATCTGCCGGTCTCGTCTCTGATCGTTGTCCGGGCGAAATGTTCTTCACACGCTGACACCTCTAAAGAATGCGTACTAAGGTTTCGGTATGTCTCTAGGTCCCAGAACTTTGCGAGTTGATCTTGGAGCTCGGTGGTAGAACACACGAGTGTCAGAGATTGACATCTACTGGGTGAATGCTCGGAAACCTTTCCGGAAACTATCCAGCCGAAATTTGTATTCTGCAGTGTGGGTCCGTCTTCAGTCGCCTTTTGCTGTTCGCTCCTCAGGAGGTCCATGTAGTATTCCGCCCCGATAATGACGTCAACAGGACCAGGTTCATAGAAGCGTGGATCAGCTAAAGATGACGATTCCGGAAGCGTCCAGCCGCTGATATCGCAGGTTGCAGTCGGTAGCGACACAGTCAACCGTGGGAGGACGTGGAACTGCATCTCTTGCACGAACGATGAAATGTGATCTAACCTGGGCCTTACTACAGCACTGACGAGTTTTGTTGAAGTGCTCGTAGATGAGCCGATCCCTTGGACAGACAGATATGACGGCGATTCGTGAAACTGAAGTTTGCTTGAGAACTCTTTCGTCATCAGGCAATGCTGCGAACACGAGTCCAGCAGCGCTCGTGCCAGCATGGAATTGCCGTGACGGTCCTTAACTTTGACTAGAGCGGTTGATAACATGATGTTCTGTGTAGGTGTGATTGGGAGTCCGATGTGTGTTTGACTTGTGGAGGGTGTGGCTGTATTTGTGGCTAGTGGTGGAGTGGCTGTTGATTGAGTGCTTTGTCCTTGCAATGTGGTGGATGTATTGGTACTAGCGTTGTGTGTATGTTGGTTCGAGTTTGTTGGCTTGGATTGTGGCTGCCGTCTGGTTTGTGTCGGAGAATTTGACTACGACTGTGGAACGGAGGATCTAGCTGATGCACTATGCAGCAGGGAGTGGTGCTTCTGTTGACAGTGACGACAGACACCCTTCTCGCAGTTTCGTGCGATGTGACCAGGACTCAAACAATTCAGACACAATCTTGCTTTGAACACAGCTTCACTGCGCTCGGGAACTTGAAGACGTTGGAATTTGCTGCATACGAATGCAGAATGCCACGATCCACTGCAGAATGGGCACTTGCTTGAAGATCTCACGGTAGTGTGACACACGGATGACTTCGACGATCGTTGATCAGACTGGCTCGGCTTCGTTGGGGCGACGGATTGCAGCACTGCACAATGACTTCGAAGGAAACTGATCAGGTTTTTGTACGTCGGTACACCCTTTGAATTGTGGTGTGTTTCCCACTGCCGTAGAGTGGCAGGATTCAGCCGGGAATACACCATGTATGCGAGAATCGTACTCCATGCAGCAGTTTCTTCGCCGATCTTCTTTAGCATTTGCAGGTTCTTCTCGAAAGCGCTGATGAGATTGCTCAGTCCGTCGTAGCTTTCTCGCTTCAAGCCTTCCACGGCAAAAAGGGAATCCAAATGTGCCTTCACAATCAGCTTCTTGTTCTCGTAGCGGGACTCAAGCGCCTTCCACGCTACGCTGTAATTCACTGCCGAAAGCTCCACCGACTCGATCTCTTGCAGGGCCTCTCCTGACAGGGCTGACTTCAGATAGCTGAACCTGTCCATATCGGTTAGGTGCTTGTTCTCGTGGATCAGGCTGCGGAAGCTATCCCGGAACGTAACCCACTCCTTAATCCTCCCACTGAACGAAGGAAGGCGAATTTCTGGAAGTTTCACCTTCGAGAATGATGCTTCTGATCGGTCACCAAGTAGACCATTTCCGACAGACATCGATGTAGATGATAGTGGGGTCTGCTTCGACAACAAACTGGCCTTCACGGAGTAATATCGTTCCTCGAAACTACTCAAAGCTAGCAGATTTTCATTCTCCTGCGTTTTCTCGTCAGCATCAGCATCATCAACATCGTCCATCAACAGCTCAATTCGTTCCCGAACCTCGAAGAACTCCTTGCTGACTGATGCTAGCGTTTCCAGTCGTACGCTGACTTGACACTCGTCTCTAGCAGGATCATATTTCGTCGCGAAATTCTCCAGTCCAGCCAACGTATTCAGAACGCGCCGCTCACGCTTACTAAGGGCCCTCAAATCAGCCATTGGTAGTAATTTACAGCACTACACTGCACTTTGACTAACTACAAAAGGCGCAATTAATCAGTATGTTGTACACTGCACAGCACTTTCACCAAAACACTCCCGATCGACTCGACGTTCCACAAATTCGCGAATTCAAGAGACAGATTGACGTCTCAAACGACAGCAGCGAGGGGAAACCAACCAGAGAGGACAAACATTGTCGGCTTGTCCAGCAGATTTCGAGACCAAAACAAACTAGCGGACACCACAGGGCTATGTACCAAAGAAAAAAGGACTCACATGCACTATCAACCAATTTATTAATTAATTGCCACGGGTAGCCACATGCAACAAGCCACCGTACAACATGCACTACTTCCCAAATTATGCTGCAACAGTATGTCCGCCGTTGATCCTGGCTGTTTACGTCTCGTTCCTGGCGCGTCGAGATCCTCCAAATGGCCGCAGCTTCCCGCTGTACGTGATCGCGATCTCTATCGCGATGGCGCCGCGAAACGCACAATTGGGATCGCCAAACAAAGAACTTCGCCTGCCGTTTTGCTATGGCGCCGAGAGTCTCACTGTTGCTTCTATTCACTATGAAGCACAATTGTCAGCACAATTGTCAGCACAATATCACGATCCAGTGGGAAAATTTCACCATATTCCGAGCCGATTCCGTGCAATTAAATTGCCGTCGGCTTTCGTGCACTGATAGTTCTTTTTTTTATTGTTTGCTGCTCCAACTAACAGCAGCCCGTACAAACTGTTCGTGCTGAGGATTTGCGACTTATCCTCGCAAATAGCACCACACACCACACAAAGTGTCCGAAAATTCACTAATCCGGCTCGAAGGACCAAATGTTCGCACCCGTCGCGGGAAATGTTTCGGAAACACGAGAAAATATACTGTATCTTCTCGCTCTAACAAACATTATTGTTTATTTTATTAAATTTACCTTAACCTAACAATAATATCTTACAAGCTAAGTCAACCCCATCATGTGACAAATCAAATAACATTAGAATTCAAAGACTAGTTCAATGGAACTCAAATTTAGTTCCTACAACCACTTTGGTCACATCCGGAAATATTCCGGGTGCCTAGGAGAAAGCAGCCTAATAGTCAAATATCAATCAATATGGGTATTTTTGGAATCAGGATGACGCCTAGGGTTCGGAGATCGATATCCGACGACATTTTGAAACCAGAGATTGCAGCTTCCGCTATCAGAAAAAAAGGGAATAGTTGCATCGAAATTGATCCACTGGAGGAATCCGGACGAGTTAAACATCCTTATTGATGCGTTGCATCAGTAAGGATGCTTAAATCAGCCGGATTCTTCCAGCGGATCAATTTTGAAAAATAATTACACTTAATAACAAACTGTTCAGTACTTACCATCAACTTTGTTCCTACAGAGGATGGCCATCAGAGGCCAACTTCGCGGCACGGATAAAAAACGCGTCTATTCTCGCACGATATGAAAAGATGACTGATCACGCAATCAGACGACGCGGAAAAAATCACAAAAAAAATGCTAAGTTCCATCCGCCATTTGGTAACCCGGCGGATGAAATTACTCTAGCGGTGCGGACCACCCTTCATCCGCATCCCGGACGAAGGGCGCACAATCAGTCTCAATATCAAATGACGTAACTTTTTCGCCGGAAATTCGTATGGGTAGCGTCGCGTTTGTGGACCGGTCACAGCAAGATGTCGCACAATTTCGGTGGAACGCCGTTACACAGGACCTACGTTGGTTGTAGAACGTCAGCCTCAATCGAGCACATTCTATGCGTATGCCCTCAGTGTAGGGTCTGAATTTTGTACACCCGTCCTCTCTCGTGTTCTTCTTCGCAAACCATAGTGAAATCTTTAATTTGTTGTTCCACTTCTTCCAGCGATTTTCCGATTTCTTCTATCTCCTCCACCGAACGGTCTTTCTGCAGAATGCGCTTCCGTAACTCCTCCGAGCGGCAGCCTTCTGCAATCGTATCTATCAACATAATATCGGATAAGATGCGTCGCACTTTTTCTGGATATTTTTCGAACCCGCATTCACAAATCTGCTGACGCACACGGACAATGAACTCAGCAAATCGTTCTCCTTGTAGCTGCTTCAACCGTCTTAACTTGTGACGTTCTAGTACATCCTGTCGGCCTGGTTGAAAAAACGCGTCAAATGCTTGAATGGCCACATCGTAGTACTGCTTTTCCGGCGTCACATAGGAAAACTTCTCCGCATCTGGTAAGTTCTGGAAGAGCGCTTGCAGTTGCGGCCCACCGAAGTGCAACAGCTTTGACCGCTTTTTCTTCTGGTCAATAATGTCTTCCGATTCGAAATAGCATTCCAAGGAACGCTTCCAAATCACCCATTCTCTATGCAGCTTTCCTTTATCCACATCATTACATCTGAATGGAGGCAAAACTCGAGACTGTTCCATCTAGAACAAAATTATTCAAATCCATCTACATAGGTATTAGTTTTTTTTTAAACAAGCGTTCTGAGTTGAATTTAACTCGATTTGATTACTCAACCATCTAAAAGAAATCAAAATCAAATTTCAAACCGATATTACAACCCTGTCAGTATTCGAGTCTGTTATAAGCACCTAGCCAATTCTCAAACCACGCTATATCGATTCCCTATCGAGCGCCTGAACCTTGTCAAAGTCCAATTCGATTCCCAAATCGATCATATAAACTCAGTCGATTCCCGAACGACACTGCATCGATTCCCAAATCGATTATAGCAACACTGTCCACTAATTCGATTACCATATCTATTAAATGACCTCGCTCAACTTTCCAATCAACAACAAATCGATTCCCAAATCGAATGCCTTATCATTGTATACATCCAGTTCGATTCCCAAATCGATTCAATTTTAACTTGGTCGATTCCCAAACCGACACCGCATCGATTCCCAAATCGATTTCATCTAGTTTGTTTCGATTCCCAAATCGCACACATGAAGCTTCCGTTGTTTTTATAGGTCTAAAAATTCCAATTGGATTTTTTTTCCGATTGCCACTTCCATTCTACAATCTTTATCACCTACTTCATTATAGATTCACATTTCACCCGATCTTAAACCAAGACAACTATTCCACCTCGATCATATTCCAAAAAAACAACAACAAATATTCGCACGTTGAACACGTCTCTCAATTCTGCTGCCACAATCCTCCTTTCCTTTCAGTTTTCAGAACACTACTCCTTTCATCAAAAACCCTCCGCACGAGTGTCAACCATTTTGAAGAAAAATGCGTTTATCTCTTGCCGTATTCGGAAATTTGTTTTCCCAAACGTTTAATCACTTCTGTCTAATAAAACTTACCATCCCCTGCTTTCTCCTCGTCGCTAATTGTGATGATTGCACTTAAATGAAAACACTCAATTTACTACCAGGATTAATCTTACACTTTATTTCAGCCAAAAAACTCCATCCGTCCGTTCACTCCTCAGCAACCACACTTCTCCCCCCTCCGTCTCACTCCCCCCCCCCCTTCTAACCTCCTCTCTCTCACACACCACACGTTCAGCCCTATCTACCTGCATGAGGGGCAAGACCCTACACTCAGTATCAGAACCTGCGGGAACTCCACGGGCTTCCAAATAGCATACGCGATGTGCTGGGATAATCCCTCCCCACTGGCAGTAATAATGCGCTTTTTAAAGGATGCTGCATTGTATTTTAAAGAATTTAATCCTTTCGGCTGTTGGGACATCTCTGTCTGATGGAGGCCCTCCCGGTTCCCCCGGTGTAAAGCTCTGTCTTATTCAGACTCTAATGTTTGTGTTCTTAATTAATTGTTTGATGTGGAAATTTATTTGGCCATACTCCAGCTCCAACTGTTTCCAGAAGCCGGTACAAAACTTGGTATATCTCAATAAACTTTTATAAGTCTAGGATTAATCACTGTTACACCACACACTTAGAAATTACTATTTTTACACGAGACGTAATTCAGCTTTGACGTAAATCATGGAACGTTAACAATCTTCTTCTTCTTCTTCGCATTTCAAGCTTATTGCATATCGCATATTAGCTTATTGCGTGCTCTCAACTTAGTGTTCTAGATGCCCTTCCACAGTTATTAATTGAGAGCTTTCGATGCCTGTACTATTTTTGCATTGGTATAATTGAGTGGCAAGTCCAATAATACTTCTATGCCCAGGGAAGTCGAGAAATTTTCCAACCCGAAAAATTCCTAGACCGGACCGGGAATTGAACCCAGCCACCTCCAGCATGGTCTTGCTTTGTAGCTGCACCTTTACCGACTGAGCTAAGGGAGGCCCCAACGTAAACAATCATGGCATGTAAAATTAAGTGTCCTGAAACTGAAACATATGCAACTCGACAGGATTGCTTCCACTCACTTGCTATAAACACAAGATTTTCTGAATTTTGAAATCAATAGATGTTGTAATGATATTTTGTACCTGTTAGAAACAAGAAGAGGTTGAAAGGCAAGTGTTTGACACATAAAACCTGTCAAATTCGCTTTCAGATAGTCACAATCAGCGATTTAACGACTCGCGAGCGCTCACTCTGAGTGAACGCTCACGAATCATAAAATCGCTGATTGTAACACTCTGGTAGCGAAATTGACAGGTTTTATGAGTCGAACACTTGCCTTCCAATCTCTTCTTGTATATAACAAGTACAACATATCATTATAACATCTAATGATTTCAAAATTCAGATAATCATGTTTTTATACCAAGTGAGTGGAAGCAAGCCTGCAACTCGACGAAATGTGCGTTTGATTGAATTGATTTTCTCGTCCTTTTCAACTGATTCTTATGTCAAAAGGGCCGCTTGCATGTGTCGGTCTCAGGGCATTGAAAGTTACATGTATTTTTCGTAGTGTGCAGTATTGACAAATATTTTCATTTGGAGTAAACAAACTTTAGCAACGGGTAAATCGATTAGAAAAACTTCAGCGATCAACAGTGTTGTCGTTTTATATAATATTGTTCGTGTAATACGTATCAGCGTGTGCCTTATCG